TGCCATCCCTGCTGCTGCAAACACTATGAAGGTGTATGCCGCATGCACTGTAAGAACTGGAACTGGGCTGAGGGGGCAGGGCGGGCCTCCCTCACCTGCCTGGGGCCCCTCCCAAAGCCCTAGTCCTGGGAACCACTCCTACCACACGCACAAGCTGCCACCCAGCAGCGTCAAAACGGGTCAGTATTAAAGCTTTCAACCCAAAGGAGGTCAGCAAGCCTGACAGTGCCATCCTCGCCTCCACCTCAGAGGGATGGACAAAGAAGTGGAGACAGTCCTTTCCCCTTCATTCCTGCCCTTAAGCCAAAGAAATGAGCTGTGCGGACATGGCCTCTTAAGAAGGGCACTGTGGGAGCCGAGCTGAAAGGGGCTTGGGCTCACATGGATGGACACTGAGCTTGGCAAAGATGTCCCTCCCAGAGAGAGCCAGGATGGCTCTGAAGGAAAAGCAAGAGACAGTTTCCTGCTTGGGAGCCAGGGACAGGAGAGGCAACATGCTTGGGCTGACCCAGCATCTCCCCCAGGACGTTTCTCTGTGGAGGTGCCACGGAGAGGACTGTAGCCAGGCACTACATCCTCTCCCACCCTGGGGCATCACTCCACAGAGCTGTGCCAGCAGGGGGGCTGTGCCAACCTGTTCTTAGAGTGTAGCTATAAGGGCAGTGCCCATGTGCACAGAGTCTGTGCCTAGACTGACTGTAGCCTGAAGGGCAGGGCCCACAAGTACAGAATCTGTATATGAACTAGATGTGTGTCTGCTGATTTCTACAACTGGAGTTTTTTTATACAATGTTCTTTGTCTCAAAATAAAGCAATGTGTATGTTTTTTTGGACATGCTTTTCTGCCCTTCCATCCTAATTTATGACCATTGAGTCCCTGCTGCTGCTAGGCTCTGTGCTATGTCAGTAGCAATTGGGTTTGAGTTTTTTCCCCTCTCTCTGAAAAGAATACATGCCCCTCACCAGCCCACAAGGGTGGGGTGTTTCCTCCTCTGAGGGTTGTCCAGGACAGGAGTGCTCCCCACAGCAGTCTCTCCCCACAGCAGTGGGGTCCTAGGCTGCACTCCACTCTGGAAGTTCCTCCTGTCCAACCTCCGCCCCACTCGCACCCTCTCAGCGCTGGGCTTTGGCGTACTGTTCAGGTACTCAGGCTCTTGGGTGAGTCAGGGCAGCCGTTCGGAACGCCTGCCAGCTGAGGCATGCGGCTCGCCCCACAGCCCCACCAGCAGACATGTGTGGGAGGCTGGGAGGGAAAGTTCCCGGCAGCAAGTTGGTTGGACTAGGCGGGGTCGGTGATATACGTTTGTCCAGTGGATTGGCCAAGTCACGGAAAGCCGGCAGTATGGCTGAAGGGGGAGGGCATCTCACAGACTTGGTGATTCCTGGCAGTCCCTGTTACTTAGGGAAGAGACTGGAAAGAGGCTTCAGCAAACAGCGAAAAATCTCCCAATCCCTGGGCAACTGAAGTTCTGAGCTGCGGCCCTCCGTGAAAGCGTGTTGAAGTCCGGGTAGCAAGCTTTTGAGTTCTACCACGTAGGCTAGCGGCCTGTGGGAAAGTGAGTTGAGGCTGGGGGTCTGGGTGATCCAAGGAGTAAGCAGAGAGTGTGGAGCGGCTGATGCCGGGGACAAATCCGCGGAGCCTTAGGAAGGAGACCGGCCAGAAAACCGAGAGCAACGGAAAAACGGGCAACCCTGCGAGCCGACAGCGGGCCGGCGGGGTCGAAACAGGCCCTCGCAGGGGCGGGACAGGCCCCCGCAGGGGCGGGGCCTGAGCTCCGGCTTGAAGTTCTAGGGGTGGGCCGGGTTCCGGTTCAGTTTCCGGGGGGATGGCCGAGCGCGCAGGGGCGGAGCCGGGGGCGCAAAGGGGCGGGGCTCCGGCGTCGCGGTCTCCGGTTCCTGCTAGCTGGCCGCAGGCGCCGAGCTCGGGATCCGACTCGGGGAGGGATGGAGGCGGGCGGATTGGCCGACTCGCTTCTTTCCGGAGCTTGCGTGCTCTTCACCCTCGGCATGTTCTCCACCGGCCTGTGAGAGCGCGGACGGGCTGGGCTGGGGCAGGACCAGGAAGTCAGGAAAGGAGTGAGAGGGGACAGAGACGTGGCCGCAGCCCCAGGCTGCATCTGGAACCTAGGGTCAAAGTGGAATCGGGTCGAGAGGGCCGGGGTACAAGAGCAAGGCTGGTCACTTTACCTGAGGGAGAAGGCCAGGGTGCTGAGGGTAGGGCCGGGGGTCTGCAGTTGTCCAGAAAGGATGACAGGCATCGGGGATTTCAACGCCCCAGCAGCCTGGTCCTCCCTTTCCACCTCTCCCCCCTGTCTTCGGGTCCCCGTTACAGCTCGGACCTCAAGCACATGCGGATGACCCGGAGTGTGGACAGTGTCCAGTTCCTGCCCTTTCTCACCACGGATGTCAAGTGAGAGGGGCGATGCCTGCGGCGGGAAAGGCTGTCTGAGGGAGGTTGGGGAGGGGTGAGGAGGAATGTGGACGAGGCCCCTCGGGTCCGCCGCTCACACTCAACCCCGCGGGCGAATGTCCCTGCCCTCCACCCTGCAGTAACCTGAGCTGGCTGAGTTATGGGGCCCTGAAGGGAAACTGGACGCTAATCGTCGTCAACGCCGTGGGTGCTGTGCTTCAGACCCTGTATATCTTGGTGTATCTGCACTACTGCCATCGGAAGGTAGAGCCCCTTCCTCTGCTGCATGCCCTGCCCTGCCTTGCTGGCAGGGCAAACACTGTTTCCTAGAAGACTATAACAGGCTGGCACTGCCAACTTTTCCTGGAAGACCCCTCCAGCCTTGCAGTCCTCCTTCCGCCATGAAGCCAGCCTACTGAGACTCACATATTGTCCCCCATTCTGGCAAAGCTGGTAGCTCTGCCTAGCCTGATGGTGCCTTGCTGCCCAACAAACTGAGTGGAAAGGGATTTTGTCTCCATAGTTCCTTCAAAGTCAGTGCCAGTGGCTGAGAGTGAAATGATCCGCTCTGCTTCCCCATTCACACAAGCATTAAGCTCCTACTCTGTGCAGCAAGCTCACCAAAAAAAGATACCTTTCCCTCTCCTAGAAACCTCCAGGGTTGTGCGTGGATCAGACATGTGCTCAAGCCACTGGTGGGAAAGAGGATGTAACAAGTGCAATACTGGAGGCTTGGGCAAAGGTTGGCTCCCCAACTGGAGCATGGGAGAGGGCAGGATGAATTAATTCCAGCAGCAGAGTCAGAGAGGGCTCCTGGTACATCCAGAAGTAAGGCTACTCTCTCCTCTGCAGCATGCTGTGCTCCTTCAGACTGCAACCCTGCTGGGGGTCCTTGTCCTGGGTTTTGGCTACTTTTGGCTCCTGGTGCCCGACACTGAGACCCGGCTTCAGCAGCTGGGCCTCTTCTGCAGTGTCTTCACCATCAGTATGTACCTCTCACCACTAGCTGACTTGGTGAGTGGGGGTGTCCAGGGAGGAAAGGAAGATAAGTCTCCCATAGCCAGAGACTGTAGCTTATACTCCAGAGGAAGGAAAGACCCAAATCCAGGAAGGAGACGGGGCAGTAGAGTTGGGTGAGTGGGCGGCAGGAGGGAAAGGTTGGGTAGCAGAAGATCAGGGAGGACGTTTGACTTTTTTTCTGAGGAAATTCTTAGGCAAGGTGGGAGATTTACTGTGTGCCTTGCTAGGAGTGTCCTTCATCCTCTCCCACAGGCCAAGGTCATTCGTACTAAATCGACCCAACGTCTCTCCTTTTCACTCACCATTGCCACCCTCCTCACCTCTGCCTCCTGGACATTCTATGGGTTTCGATTAAAAGATCCCTACATTGTGGTAAGCAGAACAGGGGCGGGGTGACAGGTGCACGAGGTGGAAAATCAGCTCCTCTCCTCATAGCAGCCCTTGTGATTTCAGGTGCCCAACCTTCCAGGAATCCTCACGAGCTTCATTCGCTTCTGGCTTTTCTGGAAATACCCCCAGGAGCAAGACAGGAACTATCAACTTCTACAAACCTGAGGGAGTTCACCTGACCACTGGGCACCTTAATGCCAACCTACTACCAAAGAAACCTTGTTTCATATCTTCCTGCTGGTCACCTCCACTGGTGAAGTGCGTTGTGGTAAAGGAAAAGAACTGCTTTGAGAATCCAGGGACTAAAGAAAGGGCTTTACTTAGAAGACTGGATGGAACCTGGGAGATGAATCACTTTTTTTTTTTTTTCAAGATTTTATTTTTTAATTTGGGAGGTCGGGGGAAATCTTTAGAATGTGCCTTAAAATAAACTGTTCCCTACCCCTTGCCCATCAAGGCTCGTTCTCTGTTCAGGGATAGTAAACCTGCCTGGTTTGGTGAAGGGTAGATGGGAACTGTCTGATCCACAGTTACTCTTGGGCTGGTAGGGTTGGCTCAGAATATCTGAAAGAACCAAGAAGTTGTAAAGACGTAAAAGAAGGCCTTAAAAAGAACAGAGCTTGGATGTTATGAAGAAGAATAGGCTTCAAGAAGTCCTTCCTAACAGGGCTAAAAAGACCAGGAAAGTGAAATGACTTTTCCATTCTGAGAGATCTTGAGAAGGGCGTCTTTGCCTCCTTCGGAGCAAACAGGAGGAAGTACCAGCAGAATGCAAAGATAAAGGCTGAGAGAGCCTCAGGAAGGTGGCTCTTCTACCTCTCACGTATCAACAGCTGGTACACAGAATCCCCAATTCCCATCATCCATACTCCATACTCAAACCAAAGTCAGAAAATAAACTGGCGCTTTAATGGGGGAGGGGAGAGCAGGCTGTCCGTGCGGGACTGAGGTTAGGGTGTCAGAAGCGCATCCCCCTGCGGGCCAAGTCGGCTCGGGCCTCCTGGATCTGGCTCTGCAGCTCGCGGGCGGCGTCCTCGCAGTCGTGAAAAGTGGCCACGCGATAGCCCACAGTACCCAGTGCATAGCAGCCGGCGGACACCAGCAAGTAGGCGGGCAGTGACCACAGGACCTCCCGGCAAGACAACGGCAGCTCCAGGCCCAGGGCTCCCGTGGTCAAAGCAGCCCAGGTGGAGCCCAGGAGCGCCAGCCCCCACAGCCACTGCGCTAATTTCGTCATGGTCACTGCGGGAAGAGGAAGCAGAGCTCGAGGTCCCTGACACTCCGCTACCCGCTCTTCATTTGAGACCCATTCCCTGTCCTACCTCACCCCCCCGCTCCGTACCACCTAACCTCAGGGCCGCTCCTCCATCGCTCCCGCCCTCCGCCCTCCACTCTCAACCCTCAGCCCTCCTCCTACACTTTACCTCTTAGCCCAGCGTCTTCCCTGAGCCGCACGGCTCCGACGTCAGCGTCCGGAGTCCTCACGGCTCGTCCTCCGCCGCCGCGCGGCCTTCTGGGAGTTGTAGTCCTCGAGCGGCGTCTGGCAGGTTCGTGGCCGCGGACTTGACGTAGGCTGTGCTCAGCCGGCTTCGCTCCTGCTGCCGCGACCTGGGCCCAGAGGGCTTTCGGTGCTGCTTCCCTCCCTCGAGACCCCGCTCCAAGCTGGCGTGGGGCTTGTAGACAGCCTGAGGACACGCTTAAACCTTGCGACTAGATGGGAATGTAATATCGTTCCTCTTAAACTCACTTCTCCTGCACAAAAATTCCACTCATTCATTCATTCATTTATTCACTTATTTATTCTTTTATTCATTCACTCAGTGGAACGTTTCTTGAGCGTCACGACAGACTTTGGAGAAATAGAGATGTCAAGACACGGACCCTTCTGGGGTGGAAGGAGGAAAGCAGGAGTCAGGAAAGCAGATGCATTGACAACTAACAGGTGCCTTGAGATAGGTGCCCTGAGATAGGTGTTGGAACAGAGGTTGTCATATTTCAAAAGAGAAACTCAGAGGAGCAACCAGTAAGACTTGGAGCCAGAAGTCCAAGAGGGTGTCTTTAAGGGAAAAAAGCTGTGGGGACAGAGGAATCACCTGATGTGTTTAAGGTATTAAGAGAAGGTGTATACGTCTTTCAGAATTTGGGGGATGAACTCATGATAGGTATATAGAAAACCGAGTGAAAGAAAAGGTCAGGCAATTATTAACTTCAGGGAAAACAAAGAGTTATAAAAGAAAGGAAGGAGAATTATAAAAGCCTGTCTGATAAAGACCACTAAGAACATAACTGTAGTTGGACAGTTAGGTTTATTCACTTGCTGCTGCAAGAGAGAGCACACATCAGAGGAACTGTGGAGCCGCTCATCAAACAAAGGAAAAAGCCAGGTCATTACAGGATATGGGAAGTGGTTGAGTTCAGGTGATATTTAAATGAAGCAGTATTTTGACAGGTTCAAGGTAAGCACAGATGTAAGTGAAGGAGTTAACAACAGCCTGGACTGAGAAGTGAACTGAGAATCCACTTGGAAACTACAAAGTTAACTAATTTTAGATAATTATGTAATAGATAACTACATAATTAAGATAATTGTACAATGTTACGTCCAAAACCCCAAAATCTGAAGCTTTGCACCTAGGTTGGAAATCGAGGCTGCTTCTCTGTATCAAAGTAATCAACATGCGTTAAACCTCCAGCAACAGTGAGATGTTCCATTCTCACTGCTTGATTTCAAACAGAAAATTTGTGACTGTATGATTTTCGAGAACAAAGTTTCTCACCCCATGTCCCTGATGTTAATTAATAAAACCAGTTTTTACAGATCCACAGAGTCTTAGCACAAACACTACATAACTCAGCTGTGTAGAATATTTTCACAGCCATAATAGTGTAAACACTAAGTGTTGACTTAACTAAAATTTGGAATATATTTAAATTGAGTGGGTGGGGGAGGGGAGTATATGGGGAGAGTCAGGATTAGACAGAACTATATCCTCATTTTCCATGGCAGGCAGTCAATTGATTATATCTAAAATAGAAAAAATAATAATAATATGAACTTGTTATTTAGAAATATTGGGAATTCCTAGTGGTCCAGTGGTCAGGACTCATTGCTTTTACTGCTGTGGCCCAGGTTCAATCCCTGGTCGGGGAACTAAGATCCCAGAAGCCGTGCAGCACTGCCCAAAAAACAAACAAAAAATATATAGAGGTAAGTACCCCCAAAAGCAGCCAAGAAACTTGAGAGTGGTTTATGGAGGAGTGTATGTGTAGGGAGTGGGTAGGAGAATGGAGCAGGGGACTGTTATTTTTCATTGAATGCCTTATAGAACTAGTTGGCCTTTTTTTAATATATATAATTGGCCTTTTAAACTATGCAAGTTCCTTTGTTAAAGTAAAAATTAAGGCAAAATTAAAATATTTTTAGAAACCTGCTCTATGAGCTTCAAAGGCCCACCTCCACTCCCTTCCCCCAAATCCTACTGGTAACCCACTCAAGACCTCACTAGTCACAGCGACTTTCAACCCAGTTCAGGGGCCAGGCATCAGCCTTGCAGATCCAGAAATTCTATCTTATTCACCCACAATAGATGTGGCCCTGAAAGATTGCCACTCCCCAGAAAATTTTTTGGTGAAAGATAACGAGAAGGGGCTTGCCCTGCAATACATAAAGACAGAAAATAAATTATAGTGTCATAATAATCAGCAGAAGATTAAACATTCATTGAGGGGCTATTATGTGTCATGCCTTTTGTGACACTGCATGTTTGATTTTCACAACAGGCTGCAGTAGGTACTTTTATATCCCCATGTATGAATGAGGAAACCAAAGCGGAGAGAAGGTAAAAGGTAAGTAACTTGCCCAAGGTCATGCAGGGTAGTAAGTAGCAGACTGTCCCATCTGACTCAAAGCTATATGCTTAGTAATTTCACCTTTCTGGGTTACTGGTATAGGAATGGGCAGATAGGGATCGTCATAGCAGCTGACATTCATTGATTGATTACTCTGTGCCAGGCACTGTAATGAGTACTTTATGTGCATAATCTCATTCAATCTTTACAGCCACCATATGAAGTAGGTACTATTATTATCTCCATTTCACAAATGAAGAAACAGGTATGCCCCAGATAGTCAGACTAGACTGCAGAGCCTGCAAACTTTGCCACTAAGGTATAGCATCTCCCTACCTAGATCAATGGAACAGAATAAAAAGTGAAGAAATAGATCAAACATACACCATTTCAGCGTATGATAGAAATGGCATCTCCAGTGAGGAAAGATGGATTATTTGAAAAAATCTGCAACAAGCTTACCATTTGAAAAAGTAAATTAAGTTATATTTCAACCTCACATCTTATACTAAAATAAATTCGCAGTGCATTAAACAAAACTTCATGTGAAAAGTGAAACCCTAAATATGCCACAAGAAAATGTGGGTACATATTTCTCTAATGTTCAGCTCAGGCATCACGTCCTCCAAGCAGCCTTCCTGGGCCTTGACCCTGTCTTGCAGGGTTGGACACCATCTTCCTCCTCTGAGCTCCCACAGGCTCTCTTTTATAGATGGCACTTACCATGTTGAGCTGTAGGTGTTTTGTTTCCCTGCTTGGGCTACCCAGGACCATTGTAACTCCAGGACCAAGCATAGCGTGGGAAACCCAGAGGGCTTCTATAAATGTAAGATAAGGGGCAGAGGGAAGGACAGGTTAGCATTTGATGGTCTCCAGGGAAACTGACCCAGCTGTCCTGGTCCCAGGAAATATAACTACTCCAGAGACTCCCATCTACTGGACACAGGGTCTTTGGCTTTGGATAGCATTGGACGAAAGCCAGCAGATTCTTATGGTCCAACTCCTTTCTCTTCAATCTTTTTACAGACCGTTACCCTTCTGCAGCTACAGCAGGCCACAAGTACACATGATTATAGCAGGGTATGAAAGGGAGTACAGCTTGGGGGTTAAAAGTTTGGGCTTTTAGAGTCCCAGATGTCCTGAGGTTGGGTCCTGCCTCTTTCCTTTACTTAGCTATGTGACCTTGGGCAAGTAACTTAACCTCTCTGAGCTTCAGTTTTCTCACGTTTGTTGGAGTTTTCTCCTTTGGCAAGCTTTTTTTTTTTTTTGGCTGTGTTGGGTCTTTGTTGCTGTGCGCAGGCTTTTTCTAGCTGCATCGAGCAGGGGCTATTCTTCGCTGCGGTGCATGGGCTTCTCATTGAGGTGCCTTCTCTTGTGGAGCACCGGCTCTAGGCACGCAGTGGCTCATGGGCTTAGTTGCTCTACGGCATGTGGGATCTTCCTGGACCAGGGCTTGAACCTGTGTCCCGTGCATTGGCAGGCGGATTCTTAACCACTGTGCACCACCAGGGAAGTCCCACCTTTGGCAAGCTTTGGTTTCAGTGAGAGACAAATTCCAAATCTGGAGCCCTCTATTTA